AATTATCCGTTGGTAAAAGTAATTCACTTTCAACTACGATAATTAGCAACGAATTTTTTATTGATAACGATGATATCTCTTTACCAACTGATAATCCGTACCTCATGTAATCGTTTAACATTTTGATATTTTACCTACGGATATTCCGTTGGTAAAAGTAATTCACTTATCCCATATCGAAAGTTTACAACAAAGTCTTCGGAGGTGCCCTCTATAAATTAATTCGTGGTCCAATAAGTGGTTAAACAATATTTTGACATTTTAATTCGGTTGACTAAAAGTTTAAAAATTTAGAATTATTAAATAAATAATAATAATAACAATAATAAAAAAAGATATATTTTTTTTTACTATGCCTCACACCTATGTGTCTATTTACAACATTGATTTTTACCCATTATAATGGTAGACATTTACCAACGAAAAGTCTGTTAGTATTGGTTAAAATTTTTACCAACGAAAATTCCGTTGGTAAAAGATTCACACTTTACTAACAGAAAATCCATTGGTAAAATGTTTACTCTTTACCTACGACACGATCCATTGATAACTATCAGCGACCCTCAAATTATCAAAGGATTTGTGGTTGCAAATATTCCGTTGGTGAATATTTTTAGTAACGGATATTGAGGTTTTAGTAACGGAAAATTCGTGCCTGAAACTCTATTTTTTAGTAGTGTATGTTGCTGAAAATTGAAACTCCCCAGAGATTTCTCTTCCCCAAAATAGAAATTACCCCTTTCTCGCTCTTAAATTACGGGATTCTTGGCAGATTTTGTTACCTAGCTTCCAACTGGATTTTGATGACACAACCTCACAAAAGTTTTAGATCTCGTCCTGAGCTTTCCAACACACCTGGGCTTGCTTTATTCCGACTTTTAGAACTCCAAATACAGGTCGAAAACAGAAGTTGGATCAAGCTGTAATGAATTCTTGACAAATTTGGAGTTCTCTGCTTCTGATAAGATTTGATCTTTTAAACGATAAAACTGGGTTTTGATCTCTCATAAAAGTTTTAGGCTTGGGCCTCATCTTTCCAACAAGCCCAACAACACGTAAAATGGAGATATGTAGCTCCAATTAGAACCTAAATGCCAAATAGTGTTCTCGTTTGACTGGCCAACCCAATTAAACTTCTCTCTAGGCCAGCCTAAATCTTGCTTCTTCAAATAAGCCCAATTTCAACCTAATTTAATAATTAAACACCTACAAAACACCAAGAATTAAATAATTGTAAAAGACGCCTAAATTCTAGAAAAGTCAGCTAAAAAAAACAATTAGGTCTTAGAAGATGTATGATATAAATTGGGATCTTAACGTAACTCCTAATTTTAAAGATCACATTTCATAATTAACAAACTTATTAAAATATTTCAAAAATCAGGTGATAAATAAATTTATTAAATATTAAAATATAATATAATATACATTAATTATTTCCACTCGTGCCGCCTCATCTACCCCATCCTATTACCCGACTACACCACCTCCCTTCACCTCTCCACCAGAGACGGCCATCAGCTCGGACGATCACTCCAGCGGCATTTCCAACCATCACTCTGGCAATAGTTCAAGCCATCACTCCGACGACAGCTTAAACTACTATTCCGCATGATCACTCCGACACTCGCTTCAACGGCTATTTGGCTATCCCTTCGGCAAACTGCTCCAATGACTACTCCGACGCTGTGATCAACTTTATTTTCGGTGTGACTAACTGTAACCAAATTTGTATTTGGTGTGACCGTCTGTAATCAAATCAATCTCAAGTCACAACTTGTTACAATCAACACAAAATTGGTCACAAACAGTCACAACAAACACTTTCTTGATTGCATAGGGTCACCACAAAGAAATTTATACACACAGCAGACCTGTGATTAACCATGACCAACTTTGTTTTCGATTTGATTAATTGTGATCAAAATTGTATTCAGATGAATGTCTGTGACCAAGTTAGTATCAAGTCACAACCGATCACAGAACCATCATAGCCAATCACAGAACAATCACAACCTACACCACCACTAACGAACCAAATATGTACCACTTTATGAGTTTACTTGATTAAATTGATCCAATCCAATTCATCAACCGACCCCAAGTTATCAAACGTGAATCCCCTCCTCCATATGCAGTATGCGTAATTTTTTACAATAGTAGGTGTGTATATGTGTTTGTGTGTATATATATATATTCCTTTTTTTGAAATATTCATTTATTATTCAATTTGAATACAATAATAAACTGATAATATATCTCTGTGAATACAAATAGACATCAAATTGATGGTGGTTCCTGAGGTAAGTTTACCTTGATAATTTCCCCATTAAGGGTCCGACTCATCGATTTTCCCAAATAATTGTCCTTGCTAGGATGGATGTTATTGACTTTAAAAAAAAAAAAAAAGAAAGAAAGAAAGAAAGAAAATTTTGATGAGTGAATTGAAATTACTACCATTATAATTTTGATTCAAACATGGAATTTATATGGAAACAAAATAAATTTTAAACAATTAATTGTCTAGAACTTATTTGTATGAAAATTATTAATTAAGAGTGTATTTGATTACATTTATTTTCCATGAAAAATATCAATTTTCTATCCAAATTCCTACTTTGTGTGTTTGATTGTTATTTTTTTCAATCGAAAGTATTTTCTAACTTTTGAAAATATGTCTAATTTTTCTTATTTTTAAGGAAAATATTTTCTTTGGGGGGAGGTGGTTTTTGTTTTCCTCAAAATTAGGAAAACATTTTTTTTCTAGGTGATATTTTCCATGTGCCGAGATTGATTTAGTTTTCAAATTAGAAAATATTATACTTGTCCATTTTTTATTGGTGGGTATATGAGAGAGAAAGAGAGAATGAATTACTTAAAACGAAAAATCACGCCTCCCTAAATAAAGTATTTTCCTTGTTTTTGAGAAAAATATGGTCACTTGACCAAAAGTTGAAAAATATTTTTTATGGAAAAATTATCAATCAAACACCCCATAAATAAGAATTTAGGTGAAAAATGACATTTTACATGAAAAATAAAGATAATCAAATACACTCTAAATACCGTGTCACACCAAATGAAAAACTAAAATGGCGAGATGTGAAAGTGTAAATGTATTAATACAATAATCAATAGAAATTGAACAGCATCACGACTTACCACCAAATATGCTTGAATATGTCGCATGATGTAGACAATGTAGTTTCTAGAGTATCAGTTTCTCAATCAAATAATATGAAGATACTTTCTCTTCGAGATTATATACATAGGAATGAGATTGAATCACAAACAAAACTGAACAGAATGATCAACGTGATCGAAGATTTGTCCTTAAGGTTATAATATTGCTCCATTCGGTGTGGCTTTAAGGGAGCGAATAATTATCTCCCATGATATAAGGGATTTCATCTATTAAAAAAGAAAAACAACAATTAGTTAGAGCTCCAACTAACTCAACTAGTATTTTATACTTAAAATACATAATTAGAATATACGGAGAAGGAAAATTTTAAAGTTTGGAATTATTGTATTTGAATGGTTAAATTTTCAATTGGAGAGGCAGGCAATTTATAATTTTATATGGTTTTCGTGGTCACTCAAATGGCCTAAAGGCCTCTTCAAAACATTGGTGATTATTTAGATAGCATTTCAAACAAATAGATGTGCTTTTTTCTTAATTGAAAGTAGACATCTATTAACTTGTTCAAAGACATCGATTAGGAAAAATAGAAATTGTAAAGAATGGTTTGTTGAATTTTGTGTGGCCCAGTTGATCTAATATGGACTGAGATGTGTGGCCCACAACTTGGAGACCTAAACTGGTGATCCAACAAGTTAAAGTCTCTAGAATGTGGGAACTGACTTTTAACTAAAACGCGTTTTTTGTTTCAAAATTACACTTCTACTGGATTATTGACGCGTGGCAAATGATGGACCGTTGGATGATTAAAATTTGTCCCACTCATATAAAAGGGACATGAGAGGTCATTAGGGTTTCAGATTATTCATTCGAGAAGCTTCTCTTTTCTTCGAGTTTTTTTATCTTTTCTGTACTTTGGTTGTTCTCTATTAGATCTTGTGTGATTTGTTTAGAGAAGGTGAAAATAAATGAACTCTTATGTTAGTTCATTGTGTCGTGAGAGGATTTTGTGCTGGTTGTGAATCTGAAACTGTGTGTTCTCTGTAACTCGAAACTCTTTGCCCATCTTTGTGCAGTTTATAGTGAATTAGAGCTTAATCTTAACAGATGCTCAACGAGGATTAGTGTTAGAAGTGGTTGCTGAACCTCGAGGTCTTTGGGCCGAAAAATCTCGTGTTTTGATCTTGTTATTATTCTGTGCTTTTATTGTGGTTGATATACAAATTAAAAATACAAATATTATTTCTAGGATTAACAGTGGTATCAGAGCTGTGGAAATTTTTTTTTTTCAAAGTTGTGATTGAGTCTCTGTGTTTGAAGAAAATTATATATTCGAGTAGATCTGTCCTTTTGCCTTTTTGTTTTTTGAAAAATTTTGGTTTCTTTCAAACAGGACTTGTCTTCTTGATGTTCTTTGAGTATTTTTTTTGTATATGACTGCAGTTTTTGTGAGATTTTTGGTAACTAACGTTTTTTCAAAACTAGGGTTTCTATTAATATCTCCTAAATCTACCTTTGTCTAGGAGTCCCTGTGAGAACCTTAGAATCTGAGGGGATTAGTGCTTCGATTCAAGAAACTCATTTTTCAAAAGTTCTTGAAATACGTTTTTCTACTACTGTGTGGATATTGGGATATACCAAGAATCTGTTTAATTCTGTTATTGATCTGCTATATATAATGTGACATGTATTGATACTCAAATTGGTCTATTTAGGGGTTGATATTACTGTTGTTTGAGATTGCTCTCCTTCGAAGGTACATGCTGACTTTGTCCCTTGTAGCTGACTAGGTGTAAGCATATTTGTTTAATAACTCCATTTTATCTGTTAATCTGTGAATTAACTTCTGTATACATGTATCCTTGACATTAGAATATTTAGCATTATCTTTGATCACTGTGATATACTGTTGGCTGAATCATACATGTATATACTCACATACTGTTGCATACCAAAATAATGAGTCTAATTGCGTATGTGTCTTTATCAGAAAGTTCTGATCAAGACTTGGTCTTAGATTCAGGCTGATCCTTTCATATGACTCCCAATATTGGCTATCTTACTGACTATTCTAGTCTTGATGGAGGGTCCTTGAAACTTGGGAATGATCAATCATGTCAAGTAAAGGGTATTGGTAATGTGTTGCTGAAATTTAAAAATGGTCATCACATACACACAAGATATGTGCCAGCACTTAGAAAAACCTCATATTCCTGGGAGTTCTTGATGATGAAAATTATCAAATTGAAATGAAGAATGGTTTTACATATATAACAAGAAATCAAGAACTTATTGTCAATTTACCCAAACTTAATGGAATTTATGTAATACATGCTAAAATCATTTTTTCTAATAATGCTGTGAATTTTGTCACACATCCTGATAAATCATAATTAGGACATAAAAGACTTAACCATCTGAGTGAAAAATATTTAAAAACTCTGTCATATCAAGAGGCATTTGGGAAAGATAGTGTTCAAAAATTAACCTTTTGTGAACACTGCATAATGGGAAAACAAGTCAGACTACCCTTTACATAAAGGCAGCATAAGTTCCAAGATGTCCTTGAATACATGCATTCTGATTTACGAGGACCTACCCCTATACCTACAGTATTTGGTTACAGATATTATCTTCTTACCACTGATGATTACTCAAAGAAAACATGGATTTTCTTATTAAAGTCTAAATATGATACTTTTGTAACTTTTAAAGAATGGAACGTATTGATTGAAAATCAGATAGGTAAGAAAATAAAAATCTTAAGAACTGATGATGGGCTTCTGCAATTTAGAATTTGATCAATATTGTAATAAACAAGGAATTATGAAACATAAAATAGTAAGTTATATCCTCACCAAAATGGAGTTGTTGAGAGGTTGAATAGAACCATTCTTGAGAGGACAAGATGTATGCTACTTAGCTCTGGCCTTCCAAAAAAATTTTGGGGAGAGGCAGTAAAAATTGCCTGTTATTTGATCAATAGATGTCCTTTCAGCTCTCTAAATAATAGGATCCATGAACAAATCTGGTCAGGCACAATGCCAAACTATTCTTATCTTAGAACCTAAAAATTCAAAACTGGACCCTAGATCATTGAAAGGTGTGTTCTTGGGATATGAAAAAGGAGTTGGAAGGCTATAGATCGTGGTTAAGAGATGTAAGGGGTTATAAAGTGATAATAAGTAGATGACTTTCCTTGTCTTAGTGACAAATTTGGAAAGAAATTAGGAAAATATGACTTTGTTATCACTAAAATAAACCTGAATAGGGAGCCTTTTAATGACCAGCTCAATTTGAGGTGAAGCCACAAGAAATAGAACCACAAAATGTGTCTGATGTTGAAATATTAGAAGATGAGTAGTATCTGAAGCCTACATATGACCTGCAGGACTACCAGCTTACTAGAGATAGAGAAAAGAGGCAAATAAGACCTTCTTCTAGGTATCAATATGCTGATTTTGTGTCTGCCTAGTCTGAACCTAATCCGTTTGACATAGAACCCACTTCTTATAAAGAAGCTGTTTCTTGCAAAGAATCTCCTAAGTGGATTGCTACAATAGAAGATGAAATGAACTGCCTCTATAAAAATGAAACATGGATCTTAGTTGAAAAACCTAAAGAATGTAAATTGATTGATTGTGAATGGGTCTATAAGATCAAAGAGGGTGAGACTAAGACAAACAATAAAATGTTTAAGGCAAGACTTGTAGCAAAAGACTTCACACAAAGAGAATGGAAAGATTACACCGAAATCTTTTCACCAGTTGTCAAATATACATCAATCAGTGTATTACTTGCTATAGTGACATAGTTTGACTTAGAGTTAGAACAACTTGACGTGAAAACTACCTTAATGTATGGTTTCTTAGATGAAACCATATATATGATTCAACCAAAAGGGTTTGAGATAAAAGAAAGAGGGAACTTTGTATGTCTCTTGAAAAAGTCATTGTGTGGCATATAAGAGATTTGACTCTTTTACACAATGACTAGATTTTAAGAAATCTGATTATGATCCCTATTTTTACTTTAAGAGAGATGGAGAATTTAAATCTTTTTATCTTCTCTTGTATATAGATGATATGCTCCTTACTAGTCACAATTCTATTACACTTAACTCAATTAAAGAAAAGTTGAAATATAAATTTAAAATGAAATATTTAGGACCAGCTCGAAAAATATTGGGCATGGAAATAAAAAGGGATATAATAAATGGAAAGTTGTTTCTAACACAAAAATCTTATGTTGATGAGGTAGTTAAAAGATTTTCTCCTCATGATGCTAAGCCTGTTAGTCTGCTTTTGTCTGCCGGTATGAAATTATCTGTTGATCATTCACCTAAATTTGAAAATGAACATAAAAGAATGATGAATGTTTCATATTCTAATGCTGTTGGATCTGTAATGTATGTTATGGTATTTCCTAGACTTGATATTGCTTATGATGTGAGTGTGTTAAGCAGATGTATGAGTAACCCAAGTGAATTACATTAGCAATGCATGAAAATTTTGATTAAGTATTTGAAAGGGACTAGTCAGTTAGGATTAATGTTTAAAACTGATAAAAATGGACTTAAACTAAAAGGTTATGTGGACTCAGATTTTGCTAGAAATCAAGATAATAGAAAATCCACATCAGCTTATTTTTATGCCATTAATGATACATGCATTAGCTGAAAATCCCAACTTCAAAAACTGTTTGCATTGTCTTCAATTGACACTAAATACATTGCTGCCAGTGAGGCAATAAAGAAAGGGCTATGGTTGAAGGGTTTACTAGGTAAATTAGGTCTTATAGAAAATCAGGAGGAGATGTGTTCTAATAATCAAAGTGCGATATTTCTAAGTAAAAATCCTATTTTGCATGATAGATCCAAGCATATAGATCAAAAAAATGTCATTTTATTAGAGATATTATTGATAGGGGTGACATTAAATTGATTAAAATTCCTACTGAGTTAAATCATATAGATGCTGGAACCAAGGTAATCCCTAATAGTAAGTTTACTGATTCTTTGAGATTGATTAATCTTGAAGAATACTAACTTTGTGTTCTCATGCAGGTGATGAGAGCAAATAAAGTTAGACTAAGTCTTTAAATCCCAAAATGCAGCAAAAGATAGGGATTGCAAAGAATGGTTTGCTAAATTTTGTGTGGCCCAGTTGATCTAAAATGGACTGAAATGTGTGGCCCAAAACTTGGAGGCCCAAACTGTTGATCCAACAAGTTGAAGTCTCTAGAATGTAGGAACTGACTTTTAACTAAATGCGTTTTTTGTTTCAAAAGAACACTTCTACTGGATTATTGACGCGTGGCAAATGATGGACCGTTGGATGATTAAAATTTGTCCCACTCATATAAAAGGGACGTGAGAGGTCATTAGGGTTTCATATTATTCATTTGAGCAGCTTTACTTTTCTTCGAGTTTTTCATCTTCTCTGTACTTTGGTTGTTCTCTCTTAGATCTTGTGTGATTTGTTGAGAGAGTGAAAATAAATGAACTCTTATGTGAGTTCATCGTGTTGTGAGAGGATTTTGTGGTGGTTGTGAATATGGAATTGTGTGTTCTCTGTAACTCGAAACTCTTTGCCTATTTTTGGGTGGTTTATAGTGGATTTGAGCTTAATCCTTAACTAAGACTAAGCGTTGGAAGTGATCACCGAACCTCGGGGCCTTTGTATCAAAAAATCTTGTGCTTTGATCTTGTTATTATTTTATCGTTATTATTGTGGTCGATTTGCAAATTAAAAACACAAATATTATTTTTAAGACTAACAGAAATTGGATACACTGATTACAGAGTTGATTATACCTAGAATATTTTTTCGAAAACGGCCAACTATTGGAATTTTAAGACTATTAAAAATAATTACATCCAGTACTGAAAGAATTTGATTATTTAAAATTTGGACAAAAATTTAAATAATTTTTTTCAAAAAGATATATGCAAAATAAAAGTACACACCATACCTACACTTGAACTCGACCTAAAACGGCCATGAACCTGTGAATGTTCACGGTACCGATTAAGACGGCCTACTGCTTGCGCATGTGTGATAATATTTAGGTCCTCTCTTTCCGCAAAAATCGTTGCCCTTTAGAGCTGAAACTCAAAGGCCAAACTTGTACCTTACAAACAAAAGATTTTTCCACTAGTTCAAAAAAAAAAAAAAAAAAAAAAAGACTAGTTCAAAAAAAAAAAAAAAAAAGGATTGAACCCCAACCTTGAAGGCTCCCACCGCCCCGCTCCTAGAGCTTTGTTAAGGAGGTAAATCGCGGGATGTGCTCCAACAGGTCAGGGAACAAGAACTACCTATACATTGCGTCTACAAAGAGTCCAATTCTATGTCTCAGGAATCAAACTCCCATACTACGACTGCCAGCAAGGCATGAGATAACCTCATTCTTATCCTTTGTACCACTGAACTATGCCCCAAGGAGCTTTTCCACTAGTTTTACTATGTGGGACAAATGTTTACCAAACTAAGCCAATTCTTCATTATTCCATGTTTCAAGTGGGCGATTATGAATCCAAATATTTTATTCAATACTTAACAAATTTTAATAAATAAATATATCATATTATTCATCTTGCGAAGTAGTACTTAAGTATGCTTGGTCCCTTTAATTTCGAAGTGCGGATTCCACTTAATTTTGAGCTCAAAGTTGCCCAAAAAATTGTTCCATAGACAAGTACACATGTAGGGAACTCGTACGTAATCCTTTTTTATGACGCGTGTTACAAAAATTTTGGACTTTATACTTGTGTAAAAATTAATTGAAGACTCAAATGCTTATTTATGTTCATGTAATACATTCACGTAAATTCCATTCAAGGTAATTATAATTTCACTCTAGTAATCGTTAGGTAATTATACTTTTATTCAATAAAGTAACTGCACTTTAATTTGATTTTAATGAAATAACCTCATTAATTGATCTTAATTAAGTCACTTCATCAATAGACTTAAACTAATGACGTGTGCAATTACCTGATTAATATATAGTGACTGCAAATGAAATTTAACCATATACTTTCTTTTAATTAAAAAATACTGACCGTTAATGGGGTGATTTCATTGAAATCCTAAATATGTTTAAAAAGAGAGGTTATCACAGCTCCAAACTTCTATGCTCGACTTTCAGAGTTGTAAATTGGCCAACATGGAATTCATCGGGCCAAAATTCAGATGATATATTTTAGAAAGACTGGACCATGTAACCAATAGATCGTACATTCAAGCAATGTCATCGCATGGACTTCTATGAGTCCGACCACCTGGTACTTAAGCTAGAACTAGAACTTGAACCACATAAACCAAGAGGTCGTGTAAAGCCATGAAAGAGGACTTTTATGTTTGAGCCATTTTGTTACACGAATATTGACGTGTGGATATCATAAGCAGATTACTATAGGAAATATAACTATTAGGTTGCATTTGACAGTGTGTATGTTGATCTCGAAATTTGATGAGAACCAACACATTCCAACTTCTCACATGGTCTCATCCCAACAACTCAATAGTCAAGCCTAAATGTGTGAATCCTAGTCATCATATGGCTATGACTATCTTACCTAGGCTGAAAAGCAGTCACCCTAATTCATAGGCTTGTAGGCTGAAAAGTTGACTTGGCATATCTGCAACAAGGCTGCAAAATCTGTCAAGCATACAGATTGCCTTTATACAAAATATTTTGTCTAAAGGTGATTCCTGCAGTTGATTGGGTAACATTGGTTTTGAGGTTGATATTGAGGCCTGCTATTTCAAAAAAAAAAAAAAAAAAAAGTTGAACCCCAACCTTGAGTGTCATTACTGTCCCGCCCTTAGATTTTTGTGAGGGAGACAAATCACGGAATGTGCCCCAACAGGTCAGGAAACAAAAGTTGCTTGTACAATGCGTCTACAAGAAGTCCAATTTCATCTTTTAGGAATCGATCCCCCACACTGTGGCTGCCAACAAGGTATGAAATAATCTCACTCCTATACTTTGCACCACTGACCTATGCCCCGAGGGACTGAAGCCTGTTATTTCTAGCTTCATAGTATGTTGGTTCGAGATGCTCCAACCCTTGGTACCTTTTCGACTAGGACCCCCCTCATCATCAATTGAAGGTGGAAGGGCTTTTAGTTTCATGGCATGATGGCATCATAGCTTTGATCTGGAACAGGATAGGCTTGTCGCTGCCTCTACTGTTGCTTTTGCTGGTTTACCAAGTTGGAGGGTGAAACTCGGCCTTTTAGCCTCAGTGGACGAGGCCCACCACCTCATCTGTTGTGGTGATTAGTCATTTCCTCTATTCACGGGTTTACCAACTATACCGATGTCTCTTTCCGCCCTCAGGTTTTCAGGTCGATTACTTTACACTTCTTCTTTTTTCTTTGCTGGTTCCCCCTTTGAGCTCGACGATGCATAGAAAAACGCCAGGGAAACATATGTATGTGGCATTTGTGGAGTTGTTCTATGGTAGCATTTTATTACGTCATATTTTTCGTGTTGGCCGCCATGTCCACGGCCTGTCTAGTGATGCGGGCATCATCTCTTCCACCTTTCCGGTGATGTGGTCAATGGTTTTGAGCATCTCCAACTATTGGGGCCTCACTTCAAAGGTCTCTCTCGCTACTTTATGTGGGTTAGCATAATGTTCTTCGCTTCCACTCATCAAAGGATAAGAAGATAAGTTTTCTGGTAAGCTTTTTTGCTAATGGGTATGCTCATAACTAAAGTATGATTTCTCATGTACAGCACCAATTTGTTGACTTTGAAGTCAGAAGGATCATGCAGCCAATAGATTCCAGATAGTCTCTCATCCAAGTGTACGTTATCTACACACTTAAATATAAAAATAGACTACTCTTGCCAGTAGCTCGAACAAGGTACAACAATTGTGAGTACTTCAATACCCAAAGCAAATGGTTAACGTATTAGGACATGGGACCTAAAAAGTGGAGACTATATTGTCTATTGCAAGTGTATGATATAATGAATAAGTAATATACTGAACCTATGAGTCTCAATGATCATTCCCACGAAGACTCATTTAATCCTTAATTTCTTACTCCTAAATTGATTTTAAAAAATAAAAAATAAAAAAATAATAATAACAACAACAACAACAACAATAATAATAATAGTGGTGGTGGTGGTGGTGGTGTTTGATGAATTATCTAAATTTATTAAAGTACACATTATCTACTCAAATTGGGGTTTTAACTTATAAATGTGAATGTTATGACTTACGATTTCACCTAGTGATTAACTTTAGTATGCATATCAGCATTCATTGATAACATAGTATTTGGTCAAATTCGTCTTAATTAGCCATTTTACCTATCTCGAGTTCAAATTAATCATATTTACATAAGTCAATTCATCTTATCACTATATGAATCCAAACAAGCCTTTAACCAAAACACATTTAAGTACTAAGAATCACTATAAACAAAACAATATCTTTACACTTCTATCGAAATTACTAAATTTACTATACGATCTAAATCTATAATCAGTTCTTTTAAATTTCAAATTTAATTAAATTAGTGGCCAATTAAAATGAAGCATTAATAAACATAAATAAAACAAACATAACAAGAATTAAACTACAAGAAACTCAAATACTGAAATAAAATGTCACATATAGTTTATATCATTTTTCCTAAGAATTTAGATACTCAAACAAATGAAAGAAAATAATTAAAAGAATAGAGTTCAGTACTGAATTTTGAAAACAAAGATGAATAAAATAATAAGATCTCGCATCAAGAATCTTCTTCTCCAAGCCAAAATTTGGAAAAAATAAATAAATAAATAAAAAATCAGATTATTTTTCTTGATCTTAAACTGTAATTTTGGAAGTTGAACTCCACTCGGTGTAGCAATTGCCTGAACCACTTTCAATTCCGTCCTTTTTCGAAATCTTCGATGATATAGAATTGGAGGCATGTTTACTGGAACAGAGTATGTACTTTCAAAGGTAGATCCTCAATTATTTCAGCTTCTAAAACACTTATATCTGCAAACTATGTTGTGGGCACTAGCGAGCAATCCCTTGTATCTTTCCCGTACCTCTTAATAAAATTCCAAATCAAACTACGAAAATATGGTGATTTCTTTTTTTCTTTTTTCCGAGGGGAAAAATTTGTTAAAATTTTTTGGCATAAACTATTCCACGTGGTAATGTAGTCAGTTAAGAATGTATCCAACAACTATCTAGTCAAGTCTCACAATGTGCATAGAAATAATCTCAACCGTATTGCATCACTTGAAACATCCAATGTTCAATAGTGCCCCCATATATCTAGGGAAAAATTGCAACAGAGATCCCTAATATTTTCATTTTTTGCAAACTTTACCCTAACCTATGGATGTCAACTGGGCTCACCGGCTCGAGCCCCCCGTGGCTCGACCCGGAAAAAGCTCGAGCTGGCTTGGGTCGAGCCCCAATTTTTATGTTCCGAGCTTAGCCCGAGCCGGCTGGAGACTTAAAAAAAAAAAACAAAAAGCAAAAAAAAAAAAAAATCCACAAAATGTTAAAAAAAGGCAACCAAATAAGGCAGCAGCTTAAGGCAGCAAGCTACTGCCTTATTTTAAGGCAAGGCAACAGCTAGCTACCTTATTAATTATTTAAAAAAAAAAAAAAAAAAAAGAGAGAGAAAAAATCTAGCCGGCCCAGCTTAGCTCGCTAAGGCTCAAGCCGAAAGCTCGGATCAAGTCTTTATTTTTCGTCGAGCTTTTGCTCGGGTCGGGCTCGAAAAAAGCCCATTTCATTTTACTCAAGCCGACTCGGCTCGGCTCATTGACATCCCTACCTTAACCTTCATTTTATGCCATTGGAAGTTTCTAACATTTCATAAATATGCACCTGAAATCCATCTAGACGGAAACCGTCCAAAACATTATTAGTTGACATGGAAAATTAAGGAATCGACATTCAATAAAGCTGTCTGAAACACACTCCAAAAATACCATCTAAAAAGGTATCAACATCCAATAAAATCGTAGCAATAGCAGGTAGTTCAAAGAATTTTTTCGATCACGATTTTCATTCATTTGGACCTCATGCACATATTTATGAAAGGTTAAGGATCTTCACTGGCACATAATAAAGTTTAGGGTAAAGTCTGCAAAAAATAAAAAGGTTAAGTACTGCTACTACAATTTTCCCTATATCCAAAAACCTCGAAATATAAATATTCATATTTGTGTTTGATCTTCCAAAGAACTGCAAGGCATTTTGGAACTATTGATTACATATGTCCTCAAGTGGAAATTTGCTTGCCCAAATGTTGGATATGCCACGCTTGACTGATTTTTGACAACTGGCACAACCAAATATTCACTAATAAGACTCCCATTCTCATTAACAATCACATTAACCATATTTTATACGATTTTATTGATTATCATGACACCTGGATGTGCTATTTATTTTGTTGTTGTTTTGGTGTTACTTCTGTACTTTTCGTTTCAACATGAATGCCTACTCAATTTCTTGATTAAATGGAGTAAGATCACATTATCTCGAACTTTTCATACAAAATCTTGAAAGAGATAATAAAATAAAAATAAAATAAAATAAAATAAAAAAAACTTGTTTATTAATCCATTTTAATATAATTCATAACCATGACAAAATCGTTTATAATTGTTGATTAATATTCCTATTTTATTTAATAATTTCTTTCGAATTGAGTTAAACATATCTCACATGTGACTTTCCTATATAACTATGGAAGATGCGAACATGAAATAATACATTAATGTCACGAAAGTCTAACTAAATCATGTAAGATATAGTAGTATATTTCTATTCCTTATCGGATCTCAAAAAAGTTGCTATACATGCTATATTCCTTGTTAATTATCTCAAATATAATAAAGATAGTATATCAATTCAATTAAAATCTAATTAATGAAAAACAACAAGTTCTATAACAATAATCCACGATAAACAATACAACCCAATTGACTAGTCAAAGTCAAAGTCAAATAAGGACTTTAATGAAGTAAATTATTCTATTGGGGTTATTTTACAAATTGACAATACTTGAGGGTTTAACATGGACATCATTTAAATTTGAGGATTTATTTTACAAGAATGGAAAGTTAATGATTAGACTTCCTTTAAAACATAAAAGGAGGGACTTGACTTGCAATTCTTCAATAATTATCCATTAAATATCATCTATATTAACCATTTTCTCGAATTTTGGGGGAAAAATGAGAGAAGGCTCGAGAGAACCCGAGAGAGAAGAAAAGAGAAGGGAAGAAAGAAGAAGAAAGAAAGAAAATGGTTTCAAGCTAAGGTTTTCAAGTTTTTCAATTTCTCTTTGATTTAGCATGGTAAGTATAAAGTATATTGAATTAAATTATTAAGGGTTATGGGAAATTTGCTTTAATTAAAAGGTTGGCAAGAATAATGTGTTATTGATGTGTATTTAATGTTATAAATAAGGATATAGCAAAGAAATATTTATTTGGATATTGATGTTGAAGAAAGTGGAAACTTTGGAAATGGGTTTGTAAAATAAAAGCATATTCTTTAAAATTCTTGTGATTATATAGTGTTAAACACTTAAATTAAGGATTTGAAGTTGAAATTCTCTAATTTTCAGCCATTTTCGAGCTATTGTAGTATAAGTGTTATTTTTGAAAATCTGCCCGAATAAGTGCTATTTCTGTCCATGATTTCGGTGACAGATTTTAGTATATAGACATTGTTGCTAGTTTTCAATATTCTAGAATTATAGTACTAGTTTTGTCAATCATCTAATTTTGGTGAATTTTTAATATTTGAAACCAAATTAAGTGTTGAATATTTAGGGTTTTGGTGTTAAAATAATTTATATGAAGGAGTATATATTGTTAGTGACCTTAATTGGGATTATGAAATTGAAAATAAAATATATCAAGTTCCCATTGGTAAATTAATATTTCAAATGGTAGGAAAATACTCAAGGCTCCTCTATGAAGAGATAGGATTTATTATAGCGAGAGCGTGATAACCTTCTTGGTATTGAAAGTGAGGAGGCGACAAGAAGATCAAAACAATGATCAACTATGACTTGGTGAGTTTCCAATAAAACTTATTTTTCAGAAATAATTATTTATTGAATTTTGAAGTTACGTATTTTATAAGTTGAGTTGATAGCATGATTTTTCAGAATAAAACGAATTTTATTATCAAATGTTTATAAAAGTTAAATTCATTTTAGTTAAATTATTTCTTGACATATTATTTCAGTATTAAATATTTTAGCATATTTAAAGTTATTATTTAAAATCACCAGAAAGTACTCAGGTGATTTTATCATTGTGTGCACTGGTGTGAATGTTTTTTTCACAGTATATGACCAATTATGTTTGATTTTATCTGCTCTGCACTATTGTGAATGTATTTCCATAGTGTATGACCAGAATTACAGAATATCAATTCTGCGCGCGTATGATTAGAATTATAGAATTTCAGAATTACAGAATTAAATGTCTTTTCCTTGTACATCGAGATTACTCTGTACGTGAGTAAGACTATTCATTGGGTACCTTTTTTATGTGATTTTTCAGTATTTCTAAAGTTTATTAGATTTCAGATTATAGAATTCAATCTATTCAGTTTTCAGATTAAAACTTTCAGTTTATAGTATTGAGCAGCAGCAATACTTCACAAATTTTCACGAATGTCATATTATTTATATTCGTTACATTTTACAGTTACTTATCTAAAATGAAGAACAAAGAATTTTATGAAATATTCATGTTTGATTAAAAGTTTAACTAGATTTTAGAATTTTTAGAAGTTTTAGAAGTGGAAGAATTTTCAAAAATTATGTAGAAATGAGAAATGTTTATTAATTTGAAAATTATCCACTCACTGTGCTTTAAACTCATATATTTTTTCACCTTTTCTCTTTATCAGACAGATAGCAACTGATTTGAGCAACTTTGGAGCCTGTCGAACAACCAAATTGAGCCGCGCGTAATATGTTCTTTTGGGATACATGTAGCTTAAATCAGAAAAGTTCATTATGGGCTCATTAGATAATTGGTATCTTTAAAATATTTGAGGATTGTTGAGCGTAAAGCAAGTAAATGTCGATATGCCAACATTTTATTTGAATAGTTTGTATTTTGAGGGACTGTCTTACCTATTCATATTATAGGTATTAATTTGACGAAACTTGGTTATTGTTCAGGTGATTTTAGTTCATATTTCAGAGGAAGCTTTGACAAAATTTTGTTAAAAATATTTTCCAGTCAAATAAATCAAAGTTACCTTGATAGTAGGTCCAGTGTTCAGCTGGTAACTATCATCGGCACACGACACGTGTCGAGTCCTCTGAAAATAATATTAAAATATCATAATGTAATGACTAAAAATTTAGCCAAGTATCACAAAATTACAAGAAATCATTAGGATTAACTAAACATCACTCGAATTTGAAAAAAGTGGAGAAGCGATGAATTCTTGAATATCGTCAAGCTAACTTGATCAATATTCAATTGCACCTTCTTCTTTCATGCCCAGGCACCAAGAAATATGATTCAAGAATGAATCCCTTATAAATTTCCCCTTAATTCTCCTTGAAAGAATGATTTTTGCCTCTTTTGATTGCAACGAAGTGTGTATTCTATTGTATAAGAAGTGTCTTTAGTTATTAGATTATAGTTTGGTAATTATAGAGCCAAGATTTAGGTCAGAATTCGTGTTTCAGTTGATTTTCTTAAAGAATTTGAGAAAGAAAAGGAAAATTTTCTTATATTCAATTAATTCAAAAAGTGTCTCGAAAGAAAAAAGAGAATTTCATTTTGTTCATGTAAACTTTTTAATATATAACCAAATTCGACAATAATTTTATCAAATTGACAATTAAATATTCATTTTTGATGGCTTGGATAGGTGTAGATATCACATCAGAGAGCCATAAAAAGTAGTTATTCAAGAAGTTATGATAAAGGTTGTTTTACCCATGACTTCGAGCGTGGTTGTTCCCAAGATGATGTTACAACCAAATAATGCTCAAGGATAACAATTAAAAGATTGAACACTCAATAATGAATCAACAATAGTGGAGCCATAAGGAATAAATTAAGAAGATCTCGAAGAGAAAAAAATAAAAAAATAAAAATCATTTTATCAAGTCATTGAAAGTGTTAGTTCTTTTATATGATTGGTTTCATCGAAGAAGAGCAAAGTTAAATGGATCTAAGTCAAGTTTGGAACCTTGTTGAGTTGCATGTAGGTTGTAAGAAGATCAAGTGTAAATGTCTTTAAGACCAAGCGCAATGCAAAGGGAAATATTGGAACTAAATTTGTAGAAACAGGTTTTATTCAGAAAAAGTGCAACAATTACAAAGAGACTTTTCTACCAGTTTTTAAAAAGAACTCTCTTATAATTATTCTGGCATTAGTAGCTGAATACGATCTAGAGTTACACAAATGGATGTAAAACCTCCTCTCTTGCTGGGAATTTAGAGGAAGAAGTTTCTATGAACCAAGATGAAGCTTTTTTAGTTAAGAGAATGGAATGCATGATGTAAACTCGAAAAAAAAAATTAAAAAAAAAAATAGAAAACGACATGGGACAGAAACAAGCTTCTTGGTAATGGTATCTTAGGTTCCATGACATAATAATTTCCTCTAGTTCTAAGGAAAATATTGTAGAACGAGTGGCGAATCTAGAATTGAAGCTCAGCTAGGGCGGTGGTTGACCATTGATTGTTGCGACTGTAATAGCAAGGTCTTTTATTAATATTTAATTAAATAATATTAAAAATTCTTCAATCTATATGTAAATGCACTAAAACGTAAAAATTATATACAACACAGATACACCAAACTTCCTTTTTGGAAATTGAATATAAAGGAAACCTAAAGGTTTCACTTACCACCTAGAATGAAGTGAATCCAAAAATTTAGACGGTAACTAGTATAGTACTCTCATAAAACACACAACTTGAAATATAGGTGGACCATAATGGAAGTTGTATTTAAGAAAACCTCACATTTTAACAATCTTCCCATTAGCAAAACTTGAAAATCCAGGTAATTTCTAAGTTGGGAAGAGAAGAAAAGGAAAAGACAAAGAACAGAGAAAACGCAACGCGCAAGTGAGACACCTAACAAGGTATTTTAGAAGCAACATTTGACAAAATGAAAGTCACACTACTGACCTCAGCTAACCAAAGTTTGATATTGTCATCAACAAACTATGTGTCTTTCAAATTTTGACCCCGAAGTCTCTTCATAAATATAGACAATTGCTCATTTTCTTCAATCTGTGCCCCTTACCCTTTTGATCTCTTGTGATGCATCTTGCATTCTCTATAATTCCCAAAATCACATGATAGCAACACATCACTATTCATTACTTCAATCCATCATAGCACTTTTAAACACCTAACAAATGCCATGATCTTTTACCCGGTACAAAAAATTTCTCAACCAGTCGGTCGAGTAGAAAATAAAATCCCCAATATTCTCTAATATTCGCAAAATCCCCCATTCTCAAATTCACAAAAATCAAAATCCTCACAGTCAAGAGTTTACACTATAGGCTCAGTTTAATATCCGTAACTCATAAACATAATTCATAAAACATAAATCATAAAAGACAAATCAAAAAACTAACTAAATTTTGAGCGAACAAAAATGAAAAAAAGAAAAGAAAAGAGAGGAGCAGTCGAGCAAACTCACAATAGTGAAGGGTGGCGAAAACTGGAGATGGAGTGGTTAGGCGTCGTCGGCAACAGGAAGTAGGGTAGGGGCTAGGACGGCGGGATCACTGGGTTTGACCAAGGGAAGGATTGAGATTCAAATTTGCCAATTGCTATCTGCAGGGTTGCATTTTTATTGTAATTGAAATTTGGGGATGGATATGAGATTGGGTTTGGGCATTTAGTTGGGCCATTTTTTTAAAAAAAAAATTAGAGGCCCAATAAGTAATAACAGAAAAGACGGTGTACTTTTAAAAATGGAATAGTCAAAGAATAAAAATTCAACTTTGACTTGTTCAATTGTTAATATTATCACAACGGTGAGTGTTAAAACACAAAAATACCCTGAATTGTATTATAAAATTACAAAAGATGGTTTTGTTTAAAAGATATTACTACCCTTTAGTTAACAAATAAAAATCAAACACTACCTACTTAAAATATCAAAATCAACAAACTTCTCATATTTGTTTACTCCAACACAGATAAAAACACCCTCATCTTTTATCTGCTTCAACCTCAAAATCTGAAAAATTCATCGAACGCAGTAGCTGAATTTTTTTTTATATCAATCTCATCAAATCAGTAAGTTTATAATACGTACATTTAATATTATTTTTGTTAAATTATTTTACGTTTTAATAAATAAAATCTATTTCGACATATAATGTTAATGTAGATAGTTTTTTAATAGATCTGTGAAAAATTTAAACTTTTGACGAGGAAAAATTAATTTGCATATACCGAAAAATTAATATGCAAAAGTTTGTGTGTTTATTCTAC